AATACAGTGCAGTCTAACAACACTGCTAAAAGGTATTGATAGGTCCAAAGTGTGCTGAGTCGGTTTAATAAACCGAACTCATTGGCTAATAACTGAAGAAAGAAGTTTTCTGGGGCCATCTCTGGTGCAGTGACTTGAGCCTCATATAGCTCATGAACAATTTTTTGATTTTTTTGTTTGTTTTTCTTCCGGTACCAGGAATCGAACTCACGACCTTGTGCTTGCCAGGCAGGCGCTGTGCCGCTGAGCTAAATCCCCAGCCCCTCATGAACCATTTTTAACGAAACAGGTTTCTAGGATCATTTATCTACTCAGTCCCACTCAACATTGTGTGTGGGGCAGGATAGTTTAAAAAACACAAAGACAAAAGCAAAAACCCTAAGAAGTTACATTCAAATTTCAAATGAATGGAAACTCAGAAAACATAGTATTGAATATATCAGACCTAGAAGATAATGAAGAATATCTATTCATTCTACAGTATGGAAAGCTGAGGCCCAGGGAAATTCAGTGACTTACTCTAAGTCATGTAGTCATTTAATGACAGAGCTGGGAGCAGATCACAAGTCCTTTGCTACTGCCTAATGTTTGCCCTACCACATGCATTGTCCCTCAGAGCTAATGCTTTGGAGAAGAGCCATCAAAGACCCCATGCTATAATTAAGAGACAGTCATATAAATGTCACTATTACTTGGACACAGCCCTTGGAAATCACCTGATTGCACCAATGCAGACTGTCTTTTGGAAACTGCCATCTCCTGGGTAGAATCCGCCATGGACTATCAATTTCATCAGAAATAGGTGAATAAGTGAATAGTCAAGTTTTTACAGCCAAATACTATCTCTTCTCCATGAAGGGAAGGGTAGGACAGTGGTATTCCAAGCATAGCTTTTTTTCCTGATTACAGCTGGTGAGGGTAACAGGTCACATAATCAATCCTTGATTTAGAGAAGAAATGAGTACAAAGAAGCTGAACGACTTGTCCAAGTTCATGTGGCAGGCTGGTAGCAGGTTCAATCCAGGACTTCAACATCTTGTCCTGGGGTTTTTCTTCCATTTCAGGTTCCATTTCTCTGAGTCTATTTTTAAAACCTGGATATCCAAGGTGGTGATTAAGGGAAGGAAGCATTCCTTCCAGAACCACCCTGAAGAACCAGGACTTCCAGAAGCAAACTGTATTACTTCTCCCTCATCTTCTATATTTGTAACTAGTGTCAAGCTCAGGACTTAACTATACAGAACGCCTTTCAAAAGACCAATAGACATTCTCAAACAGCCGAACACACTAGTCTGCCATCACACAGAATTTGAACAGTGGACAGTTAAAGATCCATGATTACAAAAAGTCAACATGAATATGCTGAGGATTTTATCCAGTTTTTCCCCACAGTACAGAATTACGTTACTTACTTGTTAGAATACAGGTAGGAGAAGTATACATTGTAACATTATATATCTAGATTTTTTTTGTCTTTTTTGATTCTGAAGCAGTAGTGGTTAAAACTGACTAACACTAGATTTGAGGTTATTAATGGATTCATCATCCAGGTTCCCTCACTTCAATTACAAGATCCCAACACTGTTAATTTAAGACAGTATTAGTTTTCTTTCTATACTAGTTGGCATGGTGACCATAACAGGAACCTGAGTAACTTTTATTTTCCCTGATATCCTAATGAATTCTCGTTATTTGCAAAGCTTTAAAATGAAGGAAAAAGTGTTAAGCCCTATGACCCTTGGAGCCCAAATAGCATCATGAAGCTCATCATTAGAACTAAGAGAGAGCAGCTGTCAGAAAACAAAACAGCTTTAAAAGGTTCCTTATGAGTCTTGTTTTCTATCCAGGATGTTCTATGTTTCTTCTCATCAAATGTGGGAATGACGTTTATCTTAGCAGGTTACTTAACTACGCTGGCTAATGTCACTCTAGCCAGTGTAGGGCACTGACCCAAGTCCTGAGGAGCTCCTTGGACCAACAGACTATTTTACAAACCTGGGAAGTGGGAGGGATGGTATATTTTTGATAATCAGACATTCCAATGTTTTCCTTAGAAGTCATATTCTCCCATTAATGTTATCGTGAAAAATATCAAGTGTGTTGTTTTCTATTTTCATATTTTAATAAATGGGCTTTGCTTACCAACATCACAATGGCAAAGAAGAAATCTACTGTACAAAACTGCAGGACGATAAACATGTGAAAACTTTCTATGGAAAAAAAAAGACTCTTGAGTTTCCTGTTGTCTTCTTTTGAAACTGTAGTGCATACGTTAAAACATGTGTATCATTTATAGTATTGAGTCATGTACCACTGCTGTACCTGATGTATCCGATCTGGATTAAACTATGTGCCACAAACGCTAAAGTGACTACATGCATGGTTTCTTTTAATCCCAGTTCTTTCCTCCCGAAGGTACTGCCATACACTAGAAAATAAGGGTAATATGAAGAGAGGCTTTCTGGCTTGCTTGAGAAGGGACAGAGTCTCAGGAGGATGAAGGCTTGGTCTAACCTGCCCACCTGCGCCCCTCAATATAAGCCAACTCCTCTATAGCTTCCTGACGGTTCTTGACTGCCCTATGCTGCAGTTATGGATGTTCCCTAACAAGTCAACATTTAACTGATAAATCATTTGACTGCATTTGTCAACAGCTCTTTGAGGCCAAACCCTCAAAAAAGTTATTGAGAGAGACCCCCAAAAGTAGACTATTGAGGGATAGTGAGAAAATCTGTCTTTATGTCAGTACTGGTTCTGCTGGTGATAGCTATAATATCTACGCCATCTAAACCACAATCTGCAATTGTAAACTCAGAATTAAATGTACAGGGTAGAGTAGAAAGCTTGGGAATCAGGTGATAGAAGCTCAAGTTTAGGTTGTATCACTCACTGTGTGACCCCACCTCAGTTACTTTCTACTCATTTCAGTTGGTTTGCTCATCTTAAACATGGGGGGCTTAGATCAGACGCAGTACCTTGAAGATCTGCTCTAACCTTAACAATTCTGACTTAGGTGGTGAAATCAACATTTCCATATTTCACCATGTGGCAACAAAAATGTGAATGCTCTTAATTTCCCCACAATCACCAGATCTCAATCAGTGAAAACAGCAATAGAAACAGAACATTAAGGCCAATGCTTATGTCCAGTCCTAGAAACTGGCCATGCAGACAGGCAGTTTAATCACTGATGGTCTCATCCTTATCACCCACTAGGTGTCACTAAAGATACATAGCTCAAATAACCTGCGGGAAGGAGCTGGAAACCAGATGTTCTTTGAGCAAGTCTTCTTTTTCATTAGAAAGCACTAAATGTCAAAATAATAATTTATATTCTAAGACAAAATTATCCAAAGCAGGTTTCCCAAAGATCTATTTACTAGTTAATACTAAAAGCCTAACTCAAGTTAAAGCTTAACATGCGTTGTTTCAGTAAATATACAGATTGAAAAGTATTGGAAAATTCCAATATTTAACCAATTTGTATTACCTCTCATCCAAATTAGCTAGATTTATAAAGGCTTTCTATATTCATAAAATTGACTATCCTTTTATTCTAATTAGAATACATTTTCCCTTCAGTATAAGTATATAACACATCTTAGAACCACAAAGGACCTGAAAACCTTCTGTCCAACTCTCTCACATTTTATTGATGAGAAAACTGGACCCTGAGAATTTAAATAACTAGGACAAGGTTTAAAAATAGAACACATCAACCAAGTATTCCTTTCTTGAAACTTCTCAAGTAAACTTACCTTAAATTCTCTACGGTTCCCAGCAGATTATGTGGACATACACCTAGACTGACAATTCCAAACAAAAATGCCTTTTCCACCCACTGATAGTCAGGCACAAATACCACATCGACCACTATCACCACCTCTTATTTGGAAGGTAACAGCTGAAACCTTTCTGGCAAATGCTTATGGAAACTGAAGCAATTAGTATTTTCATATAACATGCATATACTCACCTCCAGCTTATTTTTTACAGAAACAGCAAACACAAAATAAGACAAATCTAAAGAGAAAATCCAATTAATTTTAAGACTAATAGGTAACCTCATTTCTAATTAAGCAGCAGCAGTATCCTAATTAAAATACCCTAGCAATGACAAACTGTGAACATGGCTGGATTATGGGGGAGAAGGTAGAAAAAGAGGTAAGTTCAATTATATAGCAATGACATCTTATTTAAATGTGTAATTAAAATCTCTACTGCTTAATGATATACTGGACCTAATTATGGATTTGCTATCTATAGTGTTAATTAATTTATTCTAACTTGGCAGTACATGTGCAGGAGGGATATGTATTAAGGAAGGCCTACCATTCACCAAGCCAAATGACATGAATCCAAGTTAAACACTGACTATATTTTGAGGATCTTGGACAATGACAATGGCTGTGGGAATCTGCTGACAGTCCTAGGAAAAAGTGTTGATACTGCTTAGCCAAGTATGTATATAGCAAAGTACTTTCACAAAGTGAATAAACTTCTCTCTATATGAAGGGTTTTCACCCAAAACCCAGCTCACAGGTTTAGGAATCAAAGGCTTAGTGATAAGACTGTCTGAGAAAAAAAAGGAAAAATTGTATTTTTCTGAGTCATAATTTATATTTATATACCACCTCAAAAAAAGGTGTACCCCCCCCCACACACTCTACCACTACACATAAAAACTGGGGAAATTTTTCCAGAAGAGACAAAATTAGGACACTGAGATAAGTCTAAAGAATGAACTCTAGTTTCCACAAAATACCACTAACAGTAAAACTTTGCCTATCAGAACAGGTCAGTTCTTAACCTGGGTTCCACACATGAGCTACAGAGGGTCTATGAACCCTTTAAAATTATAGTTCTGTTTATGCAATGAGAGGATCTCACAGTTTGAGGCCAGCCTAGGCTATATAGCAAGTTCAAGGCCAGCCTGAACTACAAGAAAAAAGAAATGCAGCTCAAGGTTTTTGTAAAGAATTCTACAATATAAACTAACATTATTTTTCAAATCTTGTTTTTATTTTTAAGTACGCAGTTGTGTATATGACATCTTTTTAAATTTTTTTTTAGGAACAGCTTACAGAAAATGGCACCTTGGGACTCTTATTCTAAGAGTCTAGTGAAGTTTCTTAGGTAATATACCTAGGCCAAGTCAAATAATCTGAAAAACAGATGTGCCCCAGTGGAAAGCCTTAAGTTTGTTCAAGTTCCTCAAAAATGCCAAGGTCAAGGAAGATGGACAACCAACTATCAAATGGTGTGGACAGTTCCCAGTGGTTTCAGACACTGTACATCCTATAATCACTGGTTACCACGCATCATTTCCTGGAGATAAACTGTATTCATGTGATAAGCTGCCATCCAATTTGGATGTCTCTGAGCATTCCAGTAATACGACTGAGAAGCAGCAGCATAGTATTCTTGCCATGCCCGGTAGTACGCACTCCAGTATTCTTCATAATCCTGGTAGGCATCAGAAAAATTATGGTGTGTTTCCCTATGATACCAACCATCTTCCCAAAGTTGTGCTTGTGATCGATAAGAAGGCGGCTTAGGTAGGTTTCTCCGGCTCTGCTTCACTCTCTGGTTAGATCCCTCTTTATGCCTTGTCTTTACCTGGATTTCAGGGGATTCCTGATATTCCTCTGGATTGGTGGTGTCACTGCCATTCAGAGGTTGTTCCAAAGAGTGATAGCCAGCCACAAGAACAGATTCAGAGTCTTTCTGTTGAGTATCAGAACAGCCTTCCAAGTATGACTTATTTCCTTTGCTCTGGGAAGAAGTCCCTGAGCTGTAAGAATCACTGTCACTTTCCGAGTCTCCAGACTGGCTACTACTTGCAAGTATCTGTACTCTCTCTTCAGTAACGCTATTTCTCACAAAACCATTTTGAGAGTTTACAGTCTGATCCCCAGGGCCTGTGTAGTGCCTGATAATTTCCACAGGTTTCTCCAACCCCTCTTTAATATAGTGTTCATAATCCTCCACCAGCTCTGCAAAAGTCGAAGTGCGTGGCTGATGGATTTTAAAGGAAGACAGACAAGGAATTCTAGGGAGCGACACATGTGAAGCTTCTTTGACAGGCTGCTGACTGTTGGGAGAGTTCTGAACAGAGGTCTGAACAGAATTCATCTGCTCTTTCAGTTTTATGGCACACCCCAGTTCTTTTGTTGACACTGCTTTTTCTGTTATCCCACACTCTGAGTGGCTTTTTCCAGGAAGTTTTTGTTTAGCACTATGTTTTGATTTGACTGACAATACAGATACAGAAGTATTTCTAGAAGAAGCCACATGGTTACCATTTGTCTTCTGAGTTTGAAAGGTTTTCTCTATTTTCTGGATTTGCTTTTTCAGGGGTTGGGTAGGGACACTTGCTGAGCCATCTGCATGCAAAGCAGCTTTAACCTCCACATCCCCATCCAAACACTCTTCCATCAGACCAGGAGGAATGGGATCTACATAAAAGGAAGAAAAAGTATTAAAATACTCAGATACTCTCTACCAGCATTTTTCTAAATGATTTCATGAAGTTTTCTTGTCAACTAAGTTTAAGAAATATAGTGAGGAGCTTAAGAAATGTATTACTACTTTAAGACTAAGAAATCCCACAATGAAAGAATTTGCCTAAGAAATATGTAAGGCCTACCCCACACTCCAAAGCAATACCTCCCCTACCCTACTTTAAAATACATTCTAGAATGACGTACAGATCTGCAGCAATTCTCCCACATTTCCTCTCCTTTCTCTTCCTAGCCTTTCCTTTACCTCCCTGCTGCTGACAGCAAAATAAAATACTAAAAAATGGACTTTGCCCCCTAAGTGTACCACCAAGAAATATTGTGATTATAAATCTGTACTCAACTAAATCCACCATCCTATACTCTGAAAGAGAGAAATTACTGCCCTTAGCAGTAAAGAGAAAAATCTCTACAGAGAAAAAAACCCAGAGGAAGTGAAGAGACCTATTACCAATGTACTTTCAACTCTAAAAATTTGCTGGTTTCCAACTCTAAATTTCCTATTCCACCCAGGCATGGTGGTTCCACTCAGGAGGCTGAGACAGGAGGATTGCTGCAAGTTCCAGACCGGCCTGAACTATACAGCAGCCTGAACTATACAGCAAGACCCCGTTTCAAAAAACAAAAACAAACAACAAAAAATTCCTATTCCATCCAGGTGTAACAATTTACTACCACTTGTGTACTCAGACCTTTTCAAACCATGATCAATTTTTGTTTTACGCAGACAAGATACATTGACTGCCTGCTTTATGAAGATCTTGCCGGTCTACATTTGCCATTTATACCCCATGTATGTATACCTATTAAATCCCCCAGGTCTGTATTCTTCAGTGGAGGATCTTGAGTCTTTGCTGAACAGACTTTCGATTAACTGTCTCCTCTGTAGTTATTCCTTGCTTACCCTGGCCTATGACAAAGGCCAATTTTTCTCCTACTACTAAGGAAACTCATCTGAACAGTCTGTTGTAACACAAGTTCCTAGTCCAATGACTAACATGACTAATCATTCTCTATTAGTTTCAGGGTTCTGCTACATAAAGATATAAATATATCACTTCCAGCATCCAAAAGCAAATTTTATTTTTATCACTAGATGCTATGATACTGAATACTACAAGTCTTAACCTTCTACCAATTTTTAATTTGTTCCTATTAGACCACTGACAGAGTTATACACATAAAAAGAACTGACAGCTTAGAACTGATAAGACTGTCTAAAACATTTTGCAAAGCAAAACATTACATTTAGGGCAATTAAAGACATTTATAAAAGTTCTGAAAATGAAATATTACAAAGCCAAGCCCACTAGACTCCACAGGATTCCCAGATCTGTGCTTAGTCTCGCTTTATAAAATAAACACATAATCAATAAAATACTTGTTACATTTATTCAGTTACTATGTAACTCAGACTTACAAGGTCATCATATATAATATATATATATATATAAAACACATAGTATATATTTTAGATAATACATATTAAACTATATTTCCATTCAAGAGTATTTTAAGAGGGGTTTTTTATTTTTAAGAGATTATTAATACTTTCAAACATGCACAGTTTCCAAGATGGCATTTTAAAAACAGCATGACAAATGATTCACAAAAATCAAAACACTTCACTCAAATTTTTCAAAATAGTATTCAGATTAAAAATACTGTTCCTACCCCATGGTGACAAACAAGAATATGACAAGAATTACCTTCACAGCAATTTAAAAGAGAAAAAATATTCTCCCTTGTCTCAAAGAATAAAATCAAATTGCATTTTTTTAGCTTAAAAAATGGAGCTAAACAGATTATCTTCCAGTTTCCATGCACCAAAATTGTACTGCAAGCCTCATTTTGTTATTCACTAGCTATAACACTTTTACTTAACCCCTCTTTTTCCTAAAAGCATCTTAACCTACGAGAAGTAGCTAACAATAGCACCTCGCAGGACTTTAGTGAGAATTAAATGAGTTAATATATGCATTTTGATAATTTTATTATGCCTGTCTTCCCAATTGTTATGACAGCAACAGGAACAGGAAAATGTACCTGGTAAGGGGAGAAGGTTGATATTACATTTCTGGGCAATTTGCATCATCATATTTTCTTCTTCTCCCCGGCAACAATAGGTCACTGTCAGTCCCAAGGTACCTAAATCAGAGGGAGTGTTCAGTAAATCATTTTCAAATAAATGACATCTAGTCCATGTTTTGCATTATAGATTGTCTGTCTTAAAGAAAGCACTAAAACTTTCTTTTTTTTACCAAAACGGCCAGCTCTGCCAATCCGATGCATGTATGTTTCCCAATCCAATGGTACATCCAGATTTACAACCAGATTCACCTTCTCAGCATCAATCCCACGGGAAGTCTTGAATTAAAGAAGATAACACTTGTTTGGCTCTATTCACTCTACAGTATTTGACTCTATTCACAGGTCATAATGTTAATTTCCTGATTCAATTCTCATCATGCATTTACACACTAACCCATAAATTAGACATCTCAAATTCTGATCTAGTATAAACCCTTTATTTTTTCCCTCACTTTTCATCACCAGTAAGTACGGAAAATAATTATTACCATTCCTAACTGGAACATGGGTACCAATGTACACTCTACAGTTCTAGTATAACCAAGAGCCAAATCAAGACCAAGACCCTATTTAGAGGAAAAGGATATTCATTCCTAATAACTAATTTCAAAAACAAAAATCAAAATATTAGACATTTCCCCAGAATTAGAAAGATAATCTTCTGATATTCATGTTAGAAACACCCACATGAAAAGATACACAAAATCTGTACATCTGATAATAGAACATATGTCAAGATGGATTAGTCACCCAAAGTGAACAGGAAATTTACCAAATCTGTAGAAATGAGAACTCTGCAATGAAACTGCTTTAGTTTAGCCATAACATCTAAGCGCTGACTCTGATTCATGTTGCCTAAAAAGATCCAACAAGAAAGTCACATAAAACAACTAAGCTTATACATATTTATCAAGTCCACAAAAAGCAGGAATTATAACTCCCCGGCTGAATACTTTAAATACACCAACCACCATTAATTCTGTCCTATACAAATCTGGGTTAAGATCTACAGTCAGAATCTTTTAAAATATGGTTTATGGTAGCAATCAATTCGGGCTCAGTGGGATTCAATCTCCAGCATCACAAAAATAAATAAGTCAGTTCAGTTAGCATTTTAACACTGATTATGTCAAGAAACAAACTGTCTCTTCAGCCAACAATCTTTGTTTTATCCATAAATTTTTTATGGATAAAACAAAGAGACTCTAAAAACAAAGTAACCCTCTTTGGATACTAGTTTTCTGTTTTACTGTACACCACGTTACTCCTTAAAAAAAATACACTCACATATCAAATTCCACTTTTAAAAAAGGCCTGAAATTTCCTTTACTCTGAAGGTTCAGTGTGTCTCACACTCACAAGACAACTGCTAAAGCAGTAGTTCTTCCTCCTGACTTGGGAGCTTCAAATCAATACACTAAATAAAAACTGAAGAGATGAACTTGCCTGAAATGCACTCCGCAGGAAAGCCTTTAGAAGAAAGAATATCAGCCAAATGTTGTGCTCTATAAAAAATAACGTAAAAGTTTATTTTACAAATACTGTCCTATTCCTATCTTTTCATTTTATAGTTTCTCCAGATAATCTTTTAAGGTATATTACCTGCTGTGCAAGTTAGAAAAGACTAAGGCTTGATTAAACACAATTCTGCTGAAAAGCTCCTGTAAGTGCTGAGCCTTTTCCTCAAATATCTTATAGGCCAAAGGGTAAGAACTGACAACTTTGTAATACTGCTTCAAACCTACAAAGAAATCAAGAGTCTGCACTTAAAATAAATAATATATCTGTTATACCCTAATAGCAACTACACAGCATCAATAACCACACAGGCAAGGGAAAACTCCAAAATGCCGTGAACACACCAATGACGTAAGTACCCAAGATCCGTACATACCTAGGAGACTTGGATCACTGGAGTTCAGTCTTACAAACGTGGGTTCTCTCATATACTTTGTCAAAGCATTAGCCAAAAATTCAGGGTAAGTAGCTGATACTGCCAACATCTGTTTACTGGCAGGCAATGAAGAATAAATCCAACTGCAAAAAGAAGAAAACATACACCACAAAAATTATTCAGACATAATCACTACCTAGAAAAGCTAAAGATAGATACTCCACGTCACCATTTTTATAGTCAAGTAATTTATTCTTCTTACTTTATTTGCTCCTGAAAGCTGCCTTCTTCTAAAAGTTTGTCTGCTTCATCAAGAATAAAGAGACGTATACTGCCCGGATTCAAGTAGTCAAGTTCTATGAGTTGTTTAATTCTTCCTAAATTCCAAGAGAAAAAAAGAAAACATAGACACTGAAACATTTATGATGTACCAAATCTGTACAAATTTCAGCCAGTATGTGACTCTATTAATAGGTTATATTAACTTCCTGATTCAGTTCTCATTATGCATTTACACACTAACTCACAAATTAGAAATCTTAAATTCTGATCTAGTCCAAACCCTTCATTTTTTCCCTCACTTCTCATCACCAGTTAAGTATGGAAAATAATTACCATTCCTAGCAAAAGACCTGAAAGCCAAGACAGTAATTCATGACCAAACAATTAATAGAGGCTGAAGAATAATCTCCATTCACAGCTTAGAAGTCACATTTCTTCTCAGAAGACTATCTCGTGTGTTCTCAAATAGATCTGAAGTTTCACTGGTTATTCAGTGAGTATATATCTCTCTCACTGGTCTAGTGTTCTTAATTTCTGCTCAAAATAATTACTACAATTATCAAGCATTCACATATACTTTTTGTTATATTAAAAGTGTTTACTTCCTAAGAGCCCGAGTTACCAATAGGCATCAAAATCTTACCAGGAGATCCAACAGCAATATGACACTTTTTAAGTCTGGCTTTGTCTTGTGATAATGGAGTTCCTCCAATAAAGACATGACACTCTAAGCCTTCCATTTTGACTCCAATGGCTGTAATAACAGAATGTATCTGTACAGCAATTTCTCTTGTAGGAGCCAAGATCAAAATCTAAAAATATGTAAGACATACCATAACAAGTCAGAGGAATAAATACATATGACTGGTACTTTCATTATACTGTGCACTATTTTTAAAATAAAATGATCATTCAAATGATGAGTTTTTATTGACAAGGGAAAATATTCATTTAATCAACAAATACTAAGAAGGGACTTACTACATGTGAAGCAACATAACAACTCCTGGGAAACAGCTAACAGTACAAAGCCCCCACCCTCTTGGCACTCTTGGTTTCTAAGATAAACAACAAATAAACATAAATATCAAGTAATGAAAAGTATGAAGAAAAATACCAAACAGCAAAGGATAAAGTGACAAGAGAAGTAATTTTAAGTAGGGTAATCAAGAAAGTCCCTCTGAGGTAACATTTGAGAAGAGAACTGCCAGGCATGGTGGCGCACACCTGTAATCCCAGCACTCGGGAGGCTGAGGCAGGAGGATCGTTGCGAGTTCGAGACCAGCCTGGGCTACACAGTGAGCTCAAAGCCAGCCTGAACTGCATAGCAACACCCTGTCTCAAAAAGACAAAAAAAAAAAGGACAAGAGAACTAACTATGCAGCATAGCACTATCTGTGACTACACCTGGAATGGTGTTTCAGGAACAAAACACAGTAAATAGAACAAATTTAAGATGGTAGTGTTTTTGGTATATCTGAGGAATAGCAAGATGGTCAGGCAGCTGGAGAGATTTAGGGGGAAAATAAAGGTCAGATAGCTAACCCCAGGTGTCAGGTCCCAGAGTGAAAACTGCAATATAATTGTTGGAGAGGATAAAACTCATGTTTTCGACCTTAAGAAGAAAAAATTGCTTAAAAAAAAAAATTAGAAGAAAATGCCAAACAGGGCAGTTTCTCTTTGGGTGAATGAGATTACAGATTTTGTTTTCTGTATCTCCTCTCCTTTACTTTTCTGAGTGGTCCCAATTTTCAAAAATGTTTACGCATTGCTTTGACACACACACACAACAAAAAGGTGTAGTTTGATAATCCAAAGATCTTTAAAATATGTACTTTATTTATGGAACCTTTTTAGAATTTCTGCTTTGACCTGCTGCCAAATTATCACAAGCCAAAATCTCAAATATATCTTAATGTAGAGGTATCCTACATAGGTTTCTGTGAAGTAGGAAGATTTCCTATGTGCCATATCATCTGATTTAGCAGATATAAAATAAAATCTAAAAAGCTTCCTAAATGATGAATATAGGTATCACAGGATAAAAACCACTATTCAAAGCTGATCATCAGAAATACATGTACATGATTATGAACTTGAAATAAAGCCTATCATATAAATTCCAGAGTAAGGCTATGAGGATCATACCTAATTCATCTTTGAATCTCCAATGTATCTAGGATATTGCTTACATACTGGTTCAATACATTTTTTTTTGGAAACAGGGTCTCACTGCTGTAGTTCAGACTGGCCTTGAACTCACTATGTAGCCTAGGTTGGCCTCAGAATCAGTGATCCTCCTGTCTCTATCTTCCAAGTGCTGGGATTACAGGCATGTGCCACCACACCCAGCCCTCAATAAATCTTTATTGAAGAAATTATCCAAAATCCAAATTTCCTGCTAATTTTGGTAAGACAAACTTAGAAATACTCCAAGACAACCTAGAAAATGAGAAATCAATATGATATTTAGAGCTTTAAATAACTATCTCCTATAGCCACAGCACCACTTTACCATGAATCAAGCCAAATGCTAAGTCTCATCCCAATCTAGTAAGTAAAAAATGAATTTTTAATTGAGTACTGATAAAATTTGACATATATGGTAGCCTTACTTTATTTAAGATGCGGTAATAGCCTGGCAAGGCTGCGCATACCTGTAACCCCTCCACCCTGAAAGGCTGAAGTATGGCGAACTCCAGCTCAGCCTGGGCAACTCAGTGACTTAGCAAGACCCTGTCTCAAAATAAAAAAATTTTTAAAAGCCAGGCATGGCGGCACACCTCTAATCCCAGCACTTGGGAGGCTGAAGCAGGAGAATTATCATGAATTCAAGGCCAGCCTGGGCTACATATGAGTTCAAAACCAGCCTGAAATACATAGGAAGACCCTGTCTCAAAAAAGTAATGCAATAAAGAAATTAAAAAGGGCTTGGGATGTAGCTCAGTGAAAAGGCCCTGGGTTCAATGTCTACTACCAAATAAATAAATAAATAATCAAATTTCAAGCATTTCTAACGTATTGGTCACTCTCTACGCTACTATTACTCAACGACCTTAAAATACACTTTTATATTTTTTTACATGGTTTAATTTTATTTATCAAACCACCTTCACCTGAGGAGCCACTAATAGTTCACCTGACCAGTGGTAAAGAATACATACCCTTCTCTGGGTCGTCTGAGCAAAACTCACCTGAGTACTACAGTTCTCAAGAACAAGAGAGTCCAAAGCAATGGTGGAGAACACACAGGTCTTCCCGGTACCTGATTTAGCCTGAACAATTAAATCTGAAAAAGAAAGATAAATCATTAGTACGCATCTCACTGATGAAGCTTAGAGGTACCCAACATGGACCTCCAGTGACCACCTGGCTGGCACCTCCATTTTTAATCGACGCCCAAAGCACCCATAGGGCCATATCCAGAAGGCTGTTTGGTCTCTGAGCTTCCAGCGCCGATTTTTTCAAACTTGGCACCACGTCAGTGCTGGAAAGAGGCTCAGATCATCTTCCAATTCAACAGTGCGTCCTGCGTCCTGCGTCCTGCCCAGGCCGCCCCCGCGCCGGCGCAGACCCGGGCTCTCCCAGGCCACGCCGCACGGCTCCTCTGTCCGCCTCCCTGGGCCTCCCAGCCCCGCTCGGCGCCCGACCTCACCGAAACCGCAGCGCCCCAGCGGGATGGCCTTGAGCTGCACCGGCGAGGGCCTCTCGAAGCCGGCCGCCCGCAGCCCCTCCAGCACCGGCCGAGACAGCAGCAGCGACTCGAAGTCCGCCGGCTCCGCCAGCAGCACGTCTCCCGTGCGGGTCCGGGGGCTGCCGATGTCGTGGGCCGTCCGCATGCTCCGCAGTGGCTCGGTGGGTGGCTCCACCTCAGAGGCCTGCGCGGCCACAAGCTCCGTAGCCACAGCGGTCTCCAGGGCCTCTGAGGCCGGCGCAGGTTCAAACATCGCCGCCATGGTAGCCGCGCGACCAGATCTCGCGATACTCAGGACGAGGACGGGCTTCTGGGAGCAAGGAGAAAAACTTTATTAGCAGCCTCCCCGCTAAGACATTGACACGCCTTGTCGGGGGTGGAGGGAAGGGACGGAAGTCGGAGGCTGCGACACGCTCTTGAACACTAGCAACAGAGAAAGTATAGCCCAAGGAGGAGTCGGGAAGTGGGAGCAGAGGAAAGGCGACGTTACCGGTGTGTCGCCGCCTGCAGCCTGCAGAGGGCGCCGCGTGCTCGCGGTGGGCGCGCCGCCCGCCTTCGGGCGCTCTCCTGGGCCGCGGCGCCGCCGTGACAAGGAGCGCTTTGTGATGCGCCCCGCGCGTCACTCGCCCTCGCGGCTTCCGGTTGCCAGCGCCGCCGCCTGTCTTCCTGCACGGCGGCCTTTTCCCGGGTGTTCCACTCTCCGCACTCCAGCTCGCTGCGCCCTCCATGCCCGAAGGGAACTCCGGGGTGTAGCGAGACCTGAGGGTTTACCTCGCTGGCGGGCATCTGTCCTGTACGGCTCCCCATCTCCATGCCCCGGCACCTGGCACATGCAGCTCCTGGCACGCGGCGAGCTCGGATAAAATTGAAGTGGAACTTGGAACTCCGCTGACAACTCCCAGAGTCTGCGTCAGGCCTCTCTCTAAACTAGTCTGCTTGTGCCTCTATCTAGACGTCTAGCGGATGTCTCAGACTTAACCCGTCTTCTGTGGTCTCCTCTCCCGTCATCTCAGGGATGGGCAGCTAGCACACCGCCTTTCCAGCCTGTAGATCTCTGCTCACAAGGCATCTTGTCAAAGAAGTTCTAAGTCGGCCTCCGCATCCTGCCTGCTCCCTGGCCTTTCCCATCACTCTCTATTCTCTTGTTCTTTATTGTTCTTAATGATACTTATAACCACCTGAAATTATATGTTTATTGTCTATTCTAGCCTGTTCTTTGCTATTTTTAGTGGAACAGAATCCGACACTCACTAAACGCAGCAATAGCGTTTATTGAATGAGTTCCTTTAGAACAAAATCGTAGTTACAATACCAAATCCAAATTGTTTCTGGAATCTAATGTACTCATAATTCCAAACTTAAAGATATTTTGCAGCCAATCATTACTTTGACCTTTGATTATAGTCTTGGTCTTTGTCTCCCACACCCTATTCATATATACACTTGCACACACACAAAGGAATCCCCACCTTCCAGGGGATGCAGGAGCGATCGTGGCACTATAATCCCATTGTCAGGGATACCTAAGATAGGTATGTTTTATTTGGAAATTTACAAAGCATTGAGAAAATGCACTCTATCCATATGAAGGAAGAGAAACTGCCTGGGTTCCGTAGCACTGAAGGTCCCAGGCTTCTTCGTTAACCCCATGTTATGGTTTGTATCTAGATGTCCCGCAAGAGCCTTATGGCCTCAGAGGGGGACTTTTGAAAGGTGATTGGATTATGGGAGTTATAGCTTGCCTTGCTGTAGGGAAATGGATTCTGATCCAAAAGTACTGGGGGACATGACCCAGAAGGGTCTATCTCCTTTCCCTGCTTCTTGGTGATCTCCCCGGCTTCACTCCTTCCTGTCTGCTGTGCCATGAGCAACTCCCTTCTGTGATTTCCCTCTACCATGCTATCCTGCCATGGAGACCGCCAGCTGTGGGCTGAAAACTCTATAAACTGTGAACCAAAAATCAGCCTCTTCCCTAATTTGCAGTGTTGTGTATTGTGTCTTGGTGATGAGAAAAATGAGTAGGATGCCCCATCTCTTTCTTCCACATAGCCTATAAACTGAGAACGATTCTTGATTCTGCTTGCTATCGTTCCTCTCTTTCGAACAGTTTACTGGGCAGTTAATTGTGCCTCCAGATGTTTTGTCTATTCCCTTTCAGTTTCTCTCTCCCCTATTTCAGGCCCCTTCATCATTCCAAATATGGCAAAAACCTTCTGAGTAGTCTCACTGCCCAGAGTTTCTTCTCCGCTCCTGCCCACATACCCAACAGGTCCTGGAGTGACTTCTCGCTGTTTTGTTTGAGATTCACAATAGTCCTGTCCAGTCATTTTGCCGTGGAGACTTCTGAGCCCATATGGAAGGAAACTTATGTAAATGGAAGCATGGAATAAGGTGGCCCACTTTGGGTGGTGGGATCAGTCAGGGAATGTGAAAAGAAGGGAAGAAAATCAGTTTTATAGCCATTTTTTATCTTTCTGACCCCGAAGCAATAAAAGGCAATGTTAATATTTGCATTCAATCCACAAACATCAATTTATTTTTTTCTACAAAAACCATCTGTATGCCTGCTATAAATCAAATGCTGGAGGTACTAAAATGGAAGAAAATAAGCAGAACCCCTAACCTTAAGGAGAATGATGTACACAAACAGATGGCCTCCCATATACATAATACTATTGAAGTCAGGCGGCCAGCTAAGACCTCAGGATAGAAGTTTACTTTTCCAGGATAAAGATTATTTTGCCCCTATGAAGAAGTCTAGAGATAAAACTGTGATAGAGACCACTACAAAGCAGCCCTGAGCAGTGCTGAAATTAACCAATGGGCTTTTCATATCTGTCCGAGGCCTAGGCTCCTTGTCTGGAGATGGGTGGTAGACTCACAGTAAGTGGACCTCTGTGAGTCACTGATCCCTTCTGAAGCCTGTGACGGCAGATGAAGCTGGAAAGCCTCAAAGGATAAGACAAGATCACAGCCAAGGACACCTGGATCCAACCTCAACTAAATAAAGACAATAGCCTCAGGCATCCACTCTTGGGTGGATTAATTTAATACCTTAGTTGGAGAAGTCCTTGAGTGGTTCCACCCTTCCTGAGTACTTCCCTCTCTTCTTCTGATTACTAAATAAATATGGGCCACCCTAAGAAGGTTTTGGTCTTAGCCCTGAAAGAATCTTGAATTCTGTGAGAGGGCTTTGATCCTCCTGAAGCCCAATAGATGAAATCATTGTATTCAACTCTTTTTATTTAGCCTTGTTTGAGAGCTTATGGACCTGATCAGCCTACAATAACTGAGGGATATTATTAACCCAATAGGACTGACATAATAGTTCTGGTCCAAAAAGTTTCTAGGCACCTAAACTTCTCCTTTTGCTATCAAAATGGTTGCTGTAGCTCCAGCCATCACTTCTGTGTTATAGTCAGCAGGAAGCAGGAAGACTTAAAATAGTAGAAAAAGTAGAGGTTGTCATGCCAGCAATCTTTTTTTTTTTTTTTTTTTTTTGAAGAGTAGAAAGAATTTATTGAGAAAGAAACCTTCTGTCTAAGAGGGACACGAGAGGGCCTGGAAAGTGGGTTGCCCCCCAGCAGTCCTTTTTACATAATGTTCTCAAATATGAATCATTCTCACATGGCATTGCATTGGCCAGAATATAACCATAGAGTCATACATATCTGCAAGTAAATCTGAGAAGTGTAGTCACTTTTCCAGGCAATCACATGTTTAACCACTGATTGGAAAGGAGGTCTGTTACTACTGAAGGGGGAAAGGACATTAGAGGCAGCTTACATTCTGCCACATCTTCTCAGAGATAGTGAGAGCTAAGATAAGATCTGAGGAATAAATAGAAGTCATCAACCTTGTCACAGGGGAGGTAAAAATGGGGATCCACAGGTATGGAAAACCATATCACTTTCTAAAGGAACTTAGGGTGCAAATGAGCAAGCTTTGCAGAGGTGGGAGAGGTGAGCTGAAGGCCCAGCTCGTGTCTGAGCTTTACTCTGGAAGCCTTCTGTGTCAGGTGGAGGTGTTGCCTTTGAATGACTCCTGAGAAGATGAAAGAATCTACTCAGAGTCACAGAGCTTATAAAGTGGATTGAAAACTCAGATCTGCCTGAGAGCAAACCCCAGGATCTTTTCACCTCCTGTCCTAAAAGAGTCAACAGCCCAGATGGGGAAATGATCAAGCATGAAATATGCACAGAGCACAAGCTCGTGTAAAAGCATATGCAATACTGACATTTCTCCGGGCCTGCACTGTTCCAAGTGTGGTTGTCATGTGGGAGAGACTAAAAACTTCGGAGAAATTGAGGAGAACAGTTTTTGGTGTTTGGGGAGCAGTAGCTTGCTTCTCTGTGTCCTCCTCAACCCTACCCAAAATCAAAATGGTTTAAAGTTTGTGTGAACCATGAGAAAAACTGCATGCACAAGGTCATTCTTGATCTGATCTCTGGAGTTCAGTATTCCTGCAAAGGCAGAAACAGCAAGAGATTCGTCCCAGGAAGCAGTGGGAGCTGAGGTTCTGAGCTTCTCCTAAAATATGAGTAGACCTCATCAGGCAGTGAGGGTGGGAGGAGAGCTCAGGCAGCAGATGAGTCTCAGAAAGATATTCTGGGCACAGGGAACAGTTTGTGTAGAGGCGGCGAAGCATGAAAACCCGTAATAGTTTAGGGAAGGGAAGGGCATCGGTGGGAAGGGAGGCAAGTATGGCAGCAGTTAACAGGAAATGGCGCTGCAGGGATATTTCAGCCCCACATCATGCAGTGCCTTGTTTGCTACCATAAGGCGTAGAAAAGGAGTGTGTTATGCTCTTCCCAGGACAGGACTGTTATGTAACAGCATAGAGACACACAGTTGAAAGTGGAGATTAGGGCTTGATTCACAGCAAAGCTGAGGAATTCAGATCTTAACACGGTCTACGGCCATACCACCCTGAATGTGCCCAATCTCTGATCTTGGAAGCAAAGCAGGGTCGGGCCTGGTTAGTACTTGGAAGGGAGATCATAACTTACAGATCCGGGCACACTACTACTCAGTTTGGGACCTAATTTAAGGCGGGTAGTGACACCTACGAGCTCCTGGGTCTTGCTTTCTGAGCCCCAGCGCTGCCCGTGTGCCATTTGTCCCGCGAGCCATGGCTGAGCCCCTGATTGCCAGTTCATCTCCCCAGCCATGCGTGCTTTCAGCCCTACATTCTCCAGTTCATCTGCTTTGTGGACTAGCACACTCCATGATCTGAACTTGTGCCTAATTTACCAAAACAACAACCTCTGTCCCAGGTCACAATTTATTATTTTATGGCCTTGGTCAATCTGAGTTGACCACCTCCCACGTGGAGAATCTCCACTTTTACATGTGCTTCTTGGCCCACAGGCTGACAGTATCTTCACTACTTTTTCTTCCAGACAAGAATTAGGAGAGGGCAACAAGTAGAAAAGGCCTGAACCACTGTGTTCCTCACCGCCATCTCCGCAGTCACCCTGTGCTCTAGAACAGGTTCCCCTTTCCCAAGCTGAAGTTGATTGAGTGCCCCATTTAGTATCACCCTAGTGTTTACGGTGCAAGGCAGCGCGTTTGCTC